ACAGCACTCAGCACGTTCTGTTGTGATTGCAGTGCCGCTTTAAACCAGTAGGGGCGCACACAGCTGTTACTTTGAAGTGGTGGATACGCATTGGGTTCACACGATGCCATGCTAACACTTATACAGTATAGCTCTAAATGATCCAGAATGCACAGCGTGGTTGGGCACAATTAAGAACAATGGCATTAGTGAGGCCTGCTGTGTTTTGGATGGGGATGTTGTAGGATTTTCAGCGCTCCAGACGTGTGCTGGGATGTACATGTGGAGGGGCCCTTTCAAATGGATTTAAAGGACACGTTTTGTTTTGGCTAAAATGGAAAAAGGTGCTTCATTTTTGCACTTGAAAATGAAAGGGGTTTTCATGTTCACTGAGAACGACCGAATCAGGTCTGATTATGACTGTTTTAAATGAAGCACAGTGTAGTGTGCAAGTGTGCTGGTGTGTCAGAGTGTGTGTGAGTGTGTGTGAGTGTGTGAGAGTGAGTGTTTGTGTGAGAGTGTGTGTGTGTGAGAGAGTGTGCGAGAGTGACTGTGTGTGTGAGTGATTGTGTTTGTGTGTGTGTGAATGTGTGAATGAGAGTGTGTGAGAGGGTTGTGTGAGTGTGCGGGAGTGTGTGTGAGTGTGTAAGGGTGTGAGAGGGTTGTGTGAGTGTGTGTGAGTGATTGTGTTTGTGTGAGTGTGCGGGAGTGCACGCGCGTGTGTGTGAGAGTGTTTGTGTGAGTGTGTAACAGTGTGTGAGAGTGTTTGTGTGAGTGTGCGGGAGTGTGAGTGTGTGTGAGAGTGTGTGTGAGTGTTGTGTGTGTGAGTGTGTAAGTGTGTGAGAGGGTTGTGTGAGTGTGCGGGAGTGTGTGTGTGAGTGTGTAAGTGTGTGAGAGGGTTGTGTGAGTGATTGTGTTTGTGTGAGTGTGCGGGAGTGCGCACGTGTGTGTAAGAGTGTGTGAGAGTGTTTGTGTGAGTGTGTAACAGGGTGTGAGAGGGTTGTGTGAGTGTGCGTGAGTGTGTAAGTGTGTGACAGGGTGTGTGGTGTGTGTGTGTGTGTGTGTGTGTGTGAGTGTCCAGGAGTGTGTGTGTGAGTGTGTAAGTGTGTGGGAGGGTTGTGTGTATGTGTGTGTGAGTGTGTAAGTGTGTGAGAGGGTTTTGTGTGTGCGCGTGTGTGTGAGTGTGTGAGACTGTTTGTGTGAGTGTGTAAGTGTGTGAGAGGGTTGTTTGTGTGTGTGTGAGTGTGCTGGAGTGTGTGTGTGAGTGTGTAAGTGTGTGAGAGGGTTGGGTGAGTGTGCGTACATGTGTGTGAATGGTTGAGAGTGTTTATGTGAGTGTGTGAGAGGGTTGTGTGGGTGTGTGTGTGTGAGTGAGTGTGTGTGTGTGTGTGAGGTTGTGTGAGTGAGTGTGAGTGTGCGTACATGTGTGTGAATGTGTGAGAGTGTTTATGTGAGTGTGTGTGAGTGTGCGTGTGTGCGAGAGGGTGTGTGCTTGTGTGTGTGGTTGTGTGTGAGTGTGTGTGTGTGTTGTGTGTGTGTGTGTGTGAGTGTGTGTGAGAGGATGGATGGAAATTAGATTAATCAATAATAATAATGATCAGGGTAAGTCCAGCGAAGGTTTTGGACAGAAAAGTGAAAAAGGATTAGAAGAAGATCTGTTGTTCTTGTGTCTGTTACATCTGTGACACTTGTGGATCATAATGTTGTCATCTGAATATTTTACACTGCAATATCGATTTAAATAACTTCATAAAAGAAACAAATCGGCTGGTTTCTGTGTTAGAAAACTATGGTGACCAATGGGAGCTGACGTTGCCGTAAATGTCACAACAAAGAGACATGAAGTTGTCGGCACCTCTGATGGATGGTTGCACATAATCCCTTCTTTTTTCCCATTTGCATCAAAATGGCTACTGTGATGGAGATTTATATTGTGGAAATATTTCTCTCAGTCCGTCTTTGTGTAAATGAAAGTGATTTCTACCTGACACCAGACTCCCACAGGAAAATATTATGATTGATTACATTAAAATACTGATGAATTTATCTTTTAGAAACACATTTGGTCTTGTAATTAAAACTCATTTGGTTTGATAGTTAAAGACAGTGTTAGGAAGACCCTTCAGTGTAAACATTTCTGTTCCCTTTTACTTGCTAATCTTGTCAGGAAGAATATGCATGTGAATATGAATGCAAATCAGACCAAGCACATCTGACCACACCTCAGAAGGAGTCGTCACCTTCTCAGTTTGAAATGTATATGTCCTCTGGTCACCTCGGGCTGTATAAACTTGGTGATTTGTAACATTCAGGGTCAAACGGAGTAAGGACATACTGCTGCTGGAGAGAAGCTGTTGGTCTGTGGCCAGGCCAGGTCTAGTCCCTGTCCAGATCTGCTGTAACAAGAATAAACCTTTGTCTGTATTCCAAAAACTCATAGAGCTTCGCAAATGGATTAATTATTTATCATCAAGAGATATATAATGTTTTCCTACAACCGCTACACTGCTGAATCCTACATGTGTCACTGATAAGAGAACAAAGCGGGTACGTCACAGTGGGCGGTGAGATTGGGGGTTTATTGGCACAGTGACGTTCTGAATACAGGAGTATAAAGATGACTCAAACATGCACAAAACACGCTCAATACAACTTGGAGAGCGTAAATAAAGAAACAACTATAACATGGTTGAAATAGATCTGCTTTAAAGGTTCGCTCCAAAAATTTTCTTTCACTTTCTTTCACCTGCTCGTCTCAGTGGAGCTGTTATTGCTTTGATAATGTTTCCTGGAATATTACACAGCATAAAGTTCATGTCACTACAATTACTCAATTCCAGGTGACAAAAATATGCTTTCTTTCTGTGTTGCTTCTCCACAGATCTGACCTATAACTTGACCCACCTGCTTGTCTCCACCAGTAAAGTTATGTAAGACACAAACTGAGGTAACGCTCCAGGTAACATGGTTAAATGAACCCTGTGACTCCTCTGAGCTCTAGACCATGTTCTAAGAGTTTCCCCTCATCACTTGTTTACTCAGAGCTGGAGTTAGTTGATAAATGCATTATGTATTTTTTTTTGTTTATCACCTTCCCAGCATACACCTGTGGACTTATTTGCGGTTTTATGAAAAATTCATACTTTGGGTCATGTTACACAGTTATTATTTTTTTCAAAAACAACACTATAAATAAAGATCTGCTGCTTGCTGTGGTGAAATGCCTCGATGATGATGCAAAGTCAATGGAGCAGATTCTCTTATTAAAGGAGCTGTAGTTTATTTTTATTAAAATGTGAAAAACAGAACTTCATTATAAATGTTTTGCAGTGGTCCCAAGTTATTCCTCACATACCTTAACCCAACCCAAAACATGCTACAGGTCTCCAGAACAGTTGATAGTCAAGGTCAGTTAAATACAATCAATCAATGAACCTGTCCAGGGACGACAGGTGGAAATTAGCACTGATGCTACAACCTGATGTACAATGCATCTCTCCTGTCAAGGTTAATGCGAAAATTGTGCGCTGTCCCTGTCTCAAATAAATAAATAAATAAATAAATAATAAATAAATTATACATTCAGTAGCAGCATTAGGATTCGTTTCCTTGATGGTACTTTTTTTTTTTTAACCAATCGCTTCCATTTGCTATCTGCTATATGTAATGCGCCAAATCCCATAGGAAGAAGAGTAATAACATCTTTTGCCTTGATAAAATGAAAACATTCTCTTTGTTCCAGCTTTAAATCCTCGATCTTGGGAATCGTTTCCAACACAGAATGTCTGTCTTCATCGGAATCCATCTCGACTACATTGTTTACTATTGTGCTGTACCACAAAAGGGACCAGGCAGGTGCTTGAATTTGACGTCATGGCTTCACAACTCTTCACTGATTGGCCGGTGCACAGTCTACAACTTCCGAGGTTCTTGCAAACCGTCTAGTGTATTCGGATTCCTGACCTAGTCGCTGGACAGAAATAAAATTGAGCGGAGGCAGTAGGTGGCACCAGCTTGGCTACACATTCAGAGCATCTGCGATGAGTTTATAAGAGCTCTTCACACCTCTTAGAGACTAGAGTGGAGTTTGTCATCATGGTAATTTTAACAACTAGCATGCAAACAGTACACAGTGAATTTATTTTGACTTTGAGAGCTGCTTACACCTTATATTTGTGCTGGGGCAAGACAAAGTTTGCTCAAATACATGAAAAACAAAAGCATTTTATTGTCCAATAATCAGGAAGCGCGTGTTGGCATGCTAGTCGCTTTACTGTGACTGCAAAATGCCACTCTGGCGTCTAAGAACTGTGAAAATCTCTTATAAACTCTTACAAACTCACTGCGGTGAATATTTTGGATGCTCTGAATCCATAAGGGAAGTGAGGAATAACTTTGGACTACTGCAAACTGTTTAAAATGAATGAACTCTTTCTGTTTTTCACATTTTCGAGACTGTAAAAATCAGCTAAGGCGCGTTTAATCACATTTACAACTGCAGATGCGTCTCATAAAAATACCGGCGCAATATTTTTAGCAGCGATCTTACCCCAGGTGAACGCCTGCTTAACTCTGCTGTCTCTTTCTAAACCTGCTTTTGTTTCTTTGGGGTTGGCTCTGCCCTTAAGTTGCTCTTCGGCGTCTGGGGACCCCTCTCACTCGCGCACTACACAGTCAAGAGCAGCAGTGGCGGAGAGGAGCAGGAGAGCAGGGGACCAGTGGAGAGCAGGGGATGGGGGGGGGCATCCTACGGCAAAGCTGACAGTTAGTGAGAGCCGGAGAGTGGAGCAGAGAGGGACACAACAAGCACGGGGAATTGGGGTTTTCACCAGGGTGGCGAGAGGGAGGGATGGAGGGGTGTGTGCATGTGTGTGCCCGTGTGTGTGTGTGTGTGTGTGTAGGAGGGTATTCATAACATGGTGGAGGCTGGAATCTGTACATACACTTTCCCAGGAGGTGGTGTAAATCCTTAAATTAGATCAACTAGAATCTGTTAAGGAATCACTGGTAGGACCCAAATATGCAGAGGGAAAAAAGTATTTATTTAACAAAAATAGTCTTGACGGAGGGATAGATTCCAGGGGAGGCAGGACGGGTCCGGGTTGGCTGCAGATGGGAGGTCTGTGGAGATGGAGGCTGACCGGAGGCTTACAGAAACAGGTGGGTATGGGATGAGGCTGGCTCCAAATGAAGTGCTGGGGAATAGGACAAAAGAAACAGGTAAACATCAAAAAGGTCTTTGGAATTCTCAAAAAAATCTTAAAAAGCCTGAGTAGTTCACCACAGGGAATGACGGAACGATCTGGCACTGTAGAGCAGGTCAGCAGGTCTTTTATTGTAGGAGATGATTGCTAGATGAGGATCAGGAGTGGAGCTCAGCAGGTGCATGATTGGGGCCCGCCCAGGAAAAGCCAAACAAGGTAAGTGGAAACAGGGAGCAGGGAAAGGAGGGGTAGGAGGAGCAGGGAGAACCCTCACAGAATCAGGTTAAGATGTGGGGAATTCTGGTTAAAGGAATCCGTGTATCATTCATTTTCCAAAATAAAACCAAAAATAATGAAAAAAACAACCGTCTTCTTCATTATTTGTCTCCAAACCCAAAATGAAAAACCTGATAATGATTTGTTTTTTAATTTTTCGATTTTGTGTTTAAATGAATAATGGAAAAAAAGGGATCCGGCAGTTTCCCATTTCCGTGACCTAAACTGCCAGACTTTTACGCTGCATACGGACTGAACCAGGACGGAACCAGGACTAAACTAGGACTAAACCAGGACCAGGAGTGTCAGGACTGGCCCGGAGGTGTGCTCAAGTACATTGTCCAGTGATCAGGACTGAGACCGGGACTGAAAATCTAAGCTGTATACAAGAGGTCATTGGAAGACAGTGACAAACAATGATATATAATCGACAAGTCAAAGGGCAGGAGTGTCCAAACTTTTTGCAACATGAGCCACTTATCAAAATACATGCAAAATTGAGGGATAGTGGGGCATAGACAGGCCCCTAAAACAGTGAATAATTGAAATATGTGTATTTTGGTTAGAATGAGTCACTAGACCTTTATTAATGCTTAAGTCACCCATAAGAGAGACTAAATATTTTATATTATCTTTATCAAAAGAGTAAAAAGTACTATCAAATCACCTGGAAACCTGAGGGCCGAGAAATTGGTCTGAGTGCCACATTTTGCCCCCGAGCCGTAGTTTGGACATGCCTGACATAGGGTTATCTGTTACATAATGGTGAGTTGTTGTACAGTTGTAGGGAGCATTAAAGAGGGGATATTACTTTACCACATTTAGATCACCATGTTACCTCTCTGAGTTTTTAGCAACTGGGATCGTCAGTAGGAACTCATAGAACCGTAGTTACATCGGTAACTCCTGTTTCTCAAATTCCTTTTTACACCTTGTAAAAAAAAAAAATACTGCATTTGGGTCATTACCTTTTCCTTGTACTTTTACAGAGCAGAGCCATAATATTATTTTAAAGTAACGTTCCCTGTGCCTAAGTGAACGTGTTAACACTGCTGTTTAACTTGAAGCTTAAAAGTGAGTCTCATACATTTCAGCTGTGTGTGAAGTCCTCACAAGTCGCACAAACGCACCGTGTTCCTCGTCATCAGGAGGCAGTGGGGGGTCAGTGGTCCTGCTCATTATCTCCAGATTAAACCGGAGGGGCAAGTCCCAACAGGAGCTCACCTCAGGCTCACTGGAGCTGCACGGCCAAGGACTCACCTCCCTGGAGACACAGAGCCACTGGTTCATATGATTACACACAGGTCCTAATACACACACGCACTTGCACATACACACACACATGTACACACAGAAGCAAGCGCGCACACACACTTACACACATGCACGCACACACACCAACATATACACTAGCACCAACACACACACAACACACACAAATATATACCAACACACACCCCAACATATACACATACACCAACACACACACAACAACACACACACACACACACACACACACACACACACACAACACACACACACAACAACACACACATATACAACAACACACACACAACACACACAAATATATACCAACACACACCCCAACATACACACACCACAACACACACACAACAACACACACACACACACACACACACACACACACACAACAACAACACACACATATACAAACACACACACACACACACACACACACATATACACCAACATACACACATACACCAACACACAACATACACACACACTCACATGCACACAAACACATACACTAACACACACAAATAGACACAGACACACATATATGCACACACACACCAACACACACATATATGCACAACACACACAGATATGCGCACACCAACACACACACACATACACCAACACACACACAAACACACTAACACAACACACACTTACACTATCACACACATACACCAACATACATATACACTAACACAAACAAATAGACACACAGACACACATATATGCACACACCAACACACACACAAACACACATATACACTAACGCACACTCCAACATACACACATACAGCAACACACACACACACATATACACCAACACACACACCAACACACACAACACACACACAGATATGCGCACACCAACACACACACAAACACACTTACACGACACACACTTACATCATCACACACATACACCAACATACATATACACTAACACACACAAATAGACACACTGACACACATATGCACACACATACATGCACACACACCAACACACACACATTATGCACACACACGCACACCAACATGCATATTGTATATACACAAGCACGCACACACACACACACACACACACACACATTGTATATACACACGCCCAAGCACACACACACACAGGAGAACACATAGTCACAAACACAAACACGCATGCCAACACACACACACTTTTGAAGACATTACATTGACTTCCATTCATTTCCTGAAGTCTGACCTTAACCTTATTGTGCGTAAGTTTGACTAGATTCATTTCAGTAAAACACAATTAACATCATTAGATTTAAGATTCTACTAAAAATCTTGCCTGGTTGTTGAAGGTTTTTTTTTTTTTTAATTGTTGTCAAATTTACTTCCTGGTTGATAACAGGCAACAGATGCGACGCTTGGAGGTAATTTCGTAACTGTTACCTAGCAACTACACTGTTAACAAGGGCCAAAACTCACCAAAACACCCAGTTATGATTAGACAAACAAAAATAAACTTAAATTAAGGCTTAAACTATCAGAAAAATACCTTCTTTAAACAGAAATTATCCCTGCTTTTTGGATTGAACTTTCCGTGTTGATGACATTAGGTCGAAATTTTCTGTATTTTCGCACTTTTTTTCAACTTTCTTCCCACAAAATGACACTTGACTGACATAAAACTACGATAAATATTTAACACTGGTACCCTACCACTAAACCAAGTCAGAATTTGAAAAGAAAAGAGAAAAAAGTGCAATATTTTAGCCCATATCTTAATATTAACATGGATTTATTTTTGTCCCTATAAAACAAAACTAAGTCCCCATGATGTGAGCGTGTGTATGTGTGTGTGTACAGATTTGAGTCCGCGCAATGTTCTAAACGCCCGTCTCTCCGTCTGTCCACACACAGACTGTATATATATATAGACTCGTGACGCCCCCTTCCCTTTAAACACGACGGGGGGAATTACCACGCACCACGACTGAGAAGACTGTGTCCCCGCGAACACACACAAACGAGTGCGCGGGCGAGGAGCTAATTAATCATGCCTCCTGTATTAATTAGGATTCAAATCAGTTGCTATGGGAACCTTGCCCTCCATCGGAATCTTAGAAGGTAAAGTTGCCGCTACCTTCTGCTGCCACTGCTGCTGCTTCAATGACAAACGCAGGGGACGAATTCTCAAACACTCCAACTGTGAGTTTTCTTAAAGCTCCTGTGTTACACAAAAAGAATCTTGTGAGTTTTTAGTCATGTTATTCAGTTACACCATCAAAAACAGACCTGGAGCTGTGTTTTGTTTCATTCACATGTTTGAATAACCTTTTATTATTAGTCTGTCTGCATCTGCAAAGCTTAAAATGCTCTGTTCCACCTTGTGATGTCATGTTTTGAAGTTATCAGCTTCTTTTATCTGTTGTTCAATAGAGCTGAAATCATCAAGTGATTCTACTAAATGGTCACATTTTTCTATAGCGCTTTTCCACCTTCAAGGCACTCAAAGCCTTACAACAAGGAACCACTCACCCATTCACACACCAGTGTACACAGACACTGTGGGCAAGGTGGGTTAAGTGTCTTGCCCAAGGACACAACGACAGCATTCATCTGTGGGAGCTGGAATCACACCAGCCAACCTGTGGGTCAGTGGATCTGACCGCTCAGATGTTTATGTCGAGAGCTGGATTCGAACCACCAACCTTCAGATCAGTGGGCGAATGCTCTACCAACTGAGCTACTGCGCCCAGTGCTAGGGGTGTACTGGTACACAAAAATCACGGGTCGGTACGTATCTCAGTTTGGAGGTCACGGTTCAGTTCATTTTTGGTACAGTGTGGGAACAAAATGTTTATTTGTGTGATTATTAAACCAACAATTTGTTTTAATAGGAAAATAAAATAAATGCAAAGTGCTGCTTGGTAATACTAATAAGTTAAATAAAATATTCTTAAATAAGCAATGGGGGCGGTGATTCTGTACTGGAGATTCAGTGACGGCGAGAGTGAGGACTGGGCGCAACGTCTGTAGTTTTGCGAGGATTCACGTGGTTCGGAGGGACGTAGTCAAGGCGAGGGGCAACTGTTGTCAAGGCAGTCGCCCTAACTATAAAGCGCTGCAGGAAACACTGCCACCCCAATCATTGTGAATATAATAATATATAAAAGATGTATATATATATTATATAATATATATAAAAGAGTTGAGCCTTCCATGTAGCTGCACATGTAGTGGCAGAATATAAACACATACAAATTGAGCAAAATCACTTCGAACTGCACAAAGTGAACGTTCCGTACCAAAATGGTTTGGTATGAATACATGGGTTACACCCCTAGATTCTAGTATATTAAAAACACAGTGGAGCACTTCCTGTATTACCACATGACATCACAAGGTGGAACAGAGCGTTTTCTGTTTGAGAGAACATCTCTAAATACACAGGGTTTATGTGTTAATTGTGTTAATGAAACAAAAAAAAAACCTGCAGGTATTAAGGATGTAACAATAACCAAAATATCGTGATATCGTATCATCAAAAGTCTCACAATAATATCGTGGACTGTCACAATATATCGAATTACAAGTTCCTTTGCTTAAATGCATTGTTCTACAGTAGCAACAGCTTATACACATTGGGAACTACATATCCCATGATTCATTTCAGAGCAAACAACATGAAGAAATTATTACTTTTTTTTACTTCTTCGGGATTATGACAGAAATAATTCACACCAAAATTTAGTCAAGGCAT